GTTTCATATTGGCACACCTCAGAGAGTGGCTTAGTACCTTGACTTTTGAAACACTGATGAAGAACAAAAGAACAATGCTATGTTGTCATTTGTCATTCTCGGATGCATATTTTTGTGTTTTTTTGTGCATCCAGAATAGAGTAAAGACTTGAAATAAAGTGAATATCTCATGACGTCATCTGGTCTGGAGAGGAACCATACCGACGCCATTTGTGTGGTATTCCAGGCATATCAGGTGTTGAGGATGACTGTGGTTTTTGAATAGATCCTACTTGTGAGCGCGTGAAAGGGAAGAACGGTGTGCAGACCGGCACTTGAGTGGGTGGTTAATGTGTGTGTGTGGTCATTCCTGTGAGGGGGCTACATACCAGGAAATGTGTTGAGATTGACAGCAATAAATATGGCCTTGACTGTACTTGTCACACCCTGGCTCTGGGGACTCTATATGTTGAGCCAGGGTGTGTAAGTTCTATGTGTTTTGTTCTATGGTGTATTCTATGGGTGCTATTTCTATGTTGGCCAGAGTGGCTCCCAATCAGAGGCAACGAGTGTCAGCTGTTGCGGGTTGTCTCTGATTGGGAGCCATATTTAAACTGTCTGTTTTCCCTTTGTGTTTGTGGGATCTTGTTTCCGTTTGGTTTGTGTCTGTGTTAAACCGTAGGACTGCACGTTTCGTTTATTGTTTTGTTGTTTTATTATCACTATAGATAATAAATAATAAAGTTAATTATGTTTGCAACTAACGCTGCGCATTGGTCTACTCCATATGACGATCGTGACAGAAGATCCCACCATACCAGGACCAATCAGCGTGTCCAGGAGCAGGCAGCCTGGACGTGGGAGCAGATCTTGGACGGGCAGGGGTCCTGGACCTGGGAGGAAATCCAGGCCGGGATGGATCGCCGGCCATGGAGGGAGACGGTAGAGGCGCGACGGAGAGAGGAGCAACGGCGTAATCAGTGTCGTCGTCGGACGGACGAGAGGCAACCCCCAAAAAATTTTAGGGGGGGGCACAGGGCATGGACGACGGGGCTGACGGAGGCAGACAAGGGGCGAATTCAGAAGGCCACCAGGTTACGGGAGCCATTGGTGAGAAGAGGGAAGGAAGATGTAGAGGCGCGGCGAGAGGTACTGAGGTGTATTGCCAGTCCGGTCCGGCCCGTTCCTGATCCCCGTTTAAGACCAGTGGTGTGTGTTCCCAGTACGGTCCGGCCTGTTCCTGCCCCTCGCACCAAGTGTACGGTGCGCGTCGCCAGCCCGGCCCGGCCTGTTCCTGCTTCTCGCACCAAGTGTACGGTGCGCGTCGCCAGCCCGGCCCGGCCTGTTCCTGCCCCTCGCACCAAGTGTACGGTGCGCGTCGCCAGCCCGGCCCGGCCTGTTCCTGCCCCTCGCACCAAGTGTACGGTGCGCGTCGCCAGCCCAGCCCGGCCTGTTCCTGCCACTCGCACCAAGCCTACGGTGCGCGTCGCCAGCCCGGCCCGGCCTGTTCCTGCCACTCGCACCAAGCCTACGGTGCGCGTCGCCAGCCTGGCCCGGCCTGTTCCTGCTACTCGCACCAAGCCTACGGTGCGCGTCGCCAGCCCGGCCCGGCCTGTTCCTGCTACTCGCACCAAGCCTACGGTGCGCGTCGCCAGCCCGGCCCGGCCTGTTCCTGCCACTCGCACAAAACCTACGGTGCGCGTCGCCAGCCCGGCCCGGCCTGTTCCTGCCACTCGCACCAAGCCTACGGTGCGCGTCGCCAGCCCGGCCCGGCCTGTTCCTGCTACTCGCACCAAGCCAGGGGTGCGAGACGTCAGCCTGGTAAGGCCCGTTGCTGCTCCACGCACCAAGCCAGGGGTGCGAGTCGTCAGCCCGGTAAGGCCCGTTCCGGCTCCACGCACCAAGCCAGGGGTGCGCATCGTCAGCCCGGTCCGACCCGTTGCTGCTCCACGCACCAAGCCAGGGGTGCGAGTCGTCAGCCCGGTAAGGCCCGTTCCGGCTCCACGCACCAAGCCAGGGGTGCGCATCGTCAGCCCAGTCCGGCCCGTTCCGGCTCCACGCACCAAGCCAGGGGTGCGCATCGTCAGCCCGGTCCGGCCCGTTGCTGCTCCACGCACCAAGCCAGGGGTGCGCATCGTCAGCCCGGTCCGGCCCATAGCTGCTCCACGCACCAAGCCAGGGGTGCGCATCGTCAGCCCGGTCCGGCCCGTTCCTGCTCCACGCACCAAGCCAGGGGTGTGCGTCGTCAGTCCGGCACAACCCGTGCCTGGGTCACCGGTGCCTGGTCAGGTACCGGTCAGCTGCTCCACGCCGGAGCTGAAGCTATCCGCTCCTACGATGTCTAGTTCAGCTCCAGCCAGCGGGGCCAGACCGGACCAGGGGTGCTACGGGGGGATTATTAGAGGGTGGTGGTCTAGCCCGGAGCCGGAACCGCCTCCGAGGAGAAATGCCCACCCAGCCCTCCCCTGGTTTGTTGATGTTCAGGCGCGGTCGCAGTCCGCGCCTTTGGGGGGGGGTACTGTCACACCCTGGCTCTGGGGACTCTATATGTTGAGCCAGGGTGTGTAAGTTCTATGTGTTTTGTTCTATGGTGTATTCTATGGGTGCTATTTCTATGTTGGCCAGAGTGGCTCCCAATCAGAGGCAACGAGTGTCAGCTGTTGCGGGTTGTCTCTGATTGGGAGCCATATTTAAACTGTCTGTTTTCCCTTTGTGTTTGTGGGATCTTGTTTCCGTTTGGTTTGTGTCTGTGTTAAACCGTAGGACTGCACGTTTCGTTTATTGTTTTGTTGTTTTATTATCACTATAGATAATAAATAATAAAGTTAATTATGTTTGCAACTAACGCTGCGCATTGGTCTACTCCATACGACGATCGTGACAGTACTAAAACTATTTTAATTGTATTATGTATGACTAACAGTGACAGAGACCACTGTTAATGTGTTAGTGGTTTTTACTGTATTATAATATCATATACATTTTTTTATTAAAGTTCATTTTCACATTCGTTCATGTGAAGTACGTCTTGGACTTGATTAGGCCTACTCTAACTCATTCTTGAGGAAAATGCAGAAAATGTCTGTTGCATGTCAATTGTGTATAATACTGCTCTTAGCAATGTAGTTAAGAATAATGTAGTTGATATCATTCCACATAGACTTGTTTAAGAGAAGAGTGCCCACTGTGTGAGGTGGAAAGGAGAAAAGATGTCACAACTGAGAGGTTCGACCTGGGTGTTCTGTGGTTTTCCATCCCCCTGAGTCAGTCAGATTCAAGGCCAGTCTATCTACTGTATAAGACAGAATCTTCACCAGAGCTCAATGAACACTGACAACACACATGGTGTTGATCTCAAAGAAAAGTAGGGGTTGGGTGAGACCTTACCCTTATTCAGCCCTTTGATTATTTTTAATTTAAGGCTCTAGGTGGGACCTGTAAGGAGAGAGTCTTCACTGTACAGTAGCTGAACTCAATTTAGAAAAACCATGAGGCTAGGAAGGTACACAAAGTATTTATGTGTGCTGTATGTTGTGCTGTAAATGGGGTGTGAACACTTTCATCCCAAAATAATTTAATTGACATGCATTCCTAGTCTATAAGTACTGGTAAGTACCTGTTCCGATCAAAACAAATGTGAAAGAAAGTATTTCTCCACTAGTTGCATCATACATGACTGTCAAATACTGTTAGTGTAAAATGTTGATGTACATTTTAGCAATTATTGAAGGTCTGTAACAGTTGCCATGATAGATAGCCACTGATGAATTGCCCCATGTACCTTTTGGAGAGACAGAGGATATATGTAGTTTGCCAAGTCATAGAGATTGCTGTGGTAATATTTTATGGGCGGATCAAACACGAATGAACTACTGTATATTGAACGCATGTTATTTTTGCCAAATGTCAAACAGTAGCATGAGCCATTGTTTGTGGAACGGGCCCTTGACATTTTCCAGTGAAATTACCAGGAGACGGTGGTGAATAGAAAATAAATGGCAAAGTGGCATACAAACTTCCAATAACCCATATAGGTGGAATTTCAGATTTTCATGTTTCACTGGGCAGTAATAAAATAAAATAATTGTATTGATACATTCTCTCGATATGAAGAAAATCTGCCTATTTAATTTCAAACATCAACTGGTAATTTTTTCGTTTCAAACAAATATCCCCCAAAAGCCATCTATTAATATCTCTGAAGCCAAGTGGAGAATAGCTCCATTTTCATCATGTGTAATGGATTTTCTATTTGTGTTGATTTTACAGTACCCCAGTAGGTCAAAGTCTGGCTGTTCTACACAGAGCCGGAGCCCTTCTATAAATCATTGTACAGTGAGCTCTTCGCTCCAGCCGGAGCCTTCATCCCTCCCCAGCCAGAGCCTTGGTGGTGGGCTGCCCAGCAGATAAACAGAAATCTCACTGTAGCGCTACATCTTACAGATATATAGCTACCTTTGTCTCATCCTCAGCCAAGCGTTAGCCTGTCCACAGGCATCGTCTAGCTATTCTATGCTGGCTGGGCCAGTTCTGGGACAGCTCTTTTTCACATACTGGGGTGATGAGGAGGAGGAGGAGGAGGATGATGATTATGATGATCATGATGAATAGAGAACTTCATTACCTGTTGGGAGGTGGAAGAGTTCTGTAATATCATCATAACGGTTACCCTGTTTTGTGTCGTCCTATTAATACCAGAGCAATATCAGGCATACAGTGTCAAATGGAAAACGTTTATTCCTGCATCCACTGAATGGCAAACAGGAATGCCTTACAGTTACACAACTAACGGACAGGCTACCGTAAGCACTGGCTCTGCTGGCTCTTCACGACACTTGTTAAACAATTATTTAGAGTTGAAAGTAAACAACGTGTTGGTCAAACGATGCCAGTAACATCTGATTGGCTCCGACCAGACAAAAATAAATTAGGCTGGTGTACGTGTAGAACCAGTACAGCATGAACCCAAATGCACTCAACAGAGGCTCTGCTGTTCAGCCACAGTTACCAGTCTATACACCGCCTCCAGGCCTCTGTATACACAAACACACTGACTGGCTCTTTAAATGGAGGGACTGGGAGAGACCAGGTCTACAGTACAGTACAGTACAGCACACACACACAAACACACATACACAAACACACACTCCATCCAACCCCTTTCCTATTCCTGAGACAGAGACAGAGGGCTGACTGACCCTGAATGGCCACACTGACCAAAGAATGGGCACAAACCGTCCTCTTATGGTCCCTACTATTTGTTTATGGTGGTGATGTGAATGGGATGGTTGTCTGAAGGTATTGGTATATTCTATTAACCATACTGGACAGTCACAGTACCATGTCTGTCTTTGATAGCATCCTAGTGTGTACAGTTGCCTGAGAGAGGTTAAGAGAATATTTTAATTACTGGAATAAACCAACCTTATTTCCTCATCTAAACCTCATTAAACCTGTCTCGGTCAGTTTGTTGACATGTGTGTGTTTTGCTACTGTAGTCCTACTATACAGTCATTCTGATTTCAATCACTACGGGCAGAAACTCTCACCTGCTGCCCAGACAGACGTCCACATAGGTTTGACCAGGGAATTTTCATGTGTCAGCTCAGACATAACCTTGAAAGGTCAGAAGGATCCACGCACAAAGAAGTACAGAGAGAGACCTGTGTGTGTGTGTGTTTGTGTGTGTGTGTGTGTGTGTGTGTGCATGTGCGAGGCCTATATTGAGTGTGACCTGTTAATGTCTATCAAAAGGAAGGTTTTGTTTGTTACAAAGATGCTCAATTTTTTCTGCGTTATTTTTCACTTCATACTGTGTAATGTCTGTAATCACAATGCAGTCAATTACAAAGACTGTACCCTGTAGATACAATACCAAGCATTGAATAGAAAGACTTGATTTCACAAGCATACCTGTAAATGCCTTGAAGATGGAGGTTCTATTATCGGGCCCTGTCTTTGGCAGAGAGAGCAGTTGAAAGAGTCTTGAGAGCCTTGTAACATTACAGTTGTCTGCAGGCAGAGAGAGAGCGCAGTTGAAAGAGCCTTGTAACACTACAGTATTCGTTTCAGGGCTGGTTTAGATAACATTGGTGGGGAGACAATGGGGTCACTCATCTGGGTCCAGCTGTAACAGAAAAGTCTGAAGGTCTTATCTTTAGTCAGTGGATTACAGTCCTTCCTCTTGTTGGCCAGGCTGGTTTAACAATAAGAAATTGCATGGAGTGAGACAGTCATTTTAGTCGTGGGACATACAGACAAAATGAAACATGGATGAATTGATAAAAATGAGTGTTTATATTTATTTAGCTGGACTCCATTGTTTTCCCACCAAAGAAAGGATGATACTTCCTGAATGTGGTGTCATTGTAGGAAGGGGTTGTTTTCTTAAATGTAGAATTACAACAAACTAACAGGGTGGAAAGTTATATCAGGGACACACAGAAAATCTTAAATAATAATAATAATAAATACAATAATCATGAAAAAAACATTCTTGATAAGAGAGAATTGAACTAGGACGATCAAATAATTAAGATAGATTTGAAGTATTTTATTATTTTATGGCTTATATTTTCTCATGGAAGTTGATGAATAAAACCCAGGGACATGGCAAAAATGCCCAAATCCACTGACAAAAAGTGTTCAAAATGCATAACATTATCTTTCAAGATCCATATTTTTGTGTTTTTATGGTAAAGGTCACCTGATACATTTGACACTAAACAAGAAGTGAGATTTCCTGGGGACAGAAAAGGCACTGCAGAGTAGGAATGACCCCTTTGACGATCAAGGTAAAAACAATAAGCTCTGCTGGTTAGAGCACAGATGCATTTTAGTAGGCCCCTGAAGTGTCACTATAGAAATGGTTCAGAAATGAATAGGACATAATGATCTTTTGACTTTCCTATCAAAGAGATACATTATCCATCCAGGACCTATATACTGGGCGGTGTCAGAGGAAGGCTCTAAAAATTGTCAGACTCCATCCACCCAAGTCATAGACTGTTCTCTCTGCTACCGCACGGCAAGTACGATGCACCAAGTCTGGAACCAACAGGACCCTGAACAGCTTCTACCCCCAAGCCATAAGACTGCTAAAAAGTTAGTTAAATAGTTAACCAATAGCTACTCGGACTATCTGTATTGACCATTTTTGAACTCGTTTGACTCATCACACACTGCTGTTACTGTTTGTTATCTATCCTGTTCCCTGTTCCCTAGTCACTTTATCACTACCTATATGTACATATCTACCTCAATTACCTCGTACCCCTGAATATCGACTCGGTACTGGTACCCAGTGTATATAGCCAAGTAAGGTATCGTTAATCATTGTGTATTTATTCCTCATGTTATTATTTTTCTATTTTTCTCTCTGCATTGTTGGGAAGGGTCCATAAGTAAGCATTTCACTGTTAGTCTACACCTGTTGTTTACTAAGCATGTAACAAATAAAAATTGATTTGATTTATGAGGAGTTTTACAGAACTGAAATAATAGCCCAGTGAAGATACAACGAAAGTTGTACAAAATGTACGGCATGACTGAAAGAGCATGACGGGACAAAATCAAGACAATATACATTCCACAATCATTCCCACACCATCCTGTCAGTGTGAGCTACTCTACAAACATATTGAGCTAACTGTCTCATCTAGCTGAAATCCTCAGCTAGGCTCTGTAATCTTCAGGTGCACCAGTCAGTCAGTCAGTCAGTCTCATCCATCCGTCTGTCAGCCCACATAGAGGCTCATAAAGGATCCTTATCAGGGGCTGCAGAGAGGAAACCAGGCCAGGGGAGGAGGACTACAGAGGAAGGATGGAGGGATTGGTTTCAGAAGCATGGAGGAATGGAGGGATAGAGGGATGGAGGGATTGGTTTCAACACAGCAACTATTGGCAGCAGCCTTGACCCTGGGGGTAATCACTACGACGACAAGCTTTGATCAGATGAATACAGTTATTCTACAGTTATTCTCAGAATGTCAGTTGGTCCAAAGAACAATACCATGGTCCATACCGGGGCCAAAACGCTCTCTCTGATAGCTTACATTTTGTGCTTGTTTTCGTCTGATTCTGAAAGGAAGTACTGTATAACTTATGAAGGATTGAGACCACTGAAATTAGGCTATACATGACATGGTTTGGCTTAGTTCTTAGTAATCCCTTTTTGATTTGTAAAAAGTTTGTTTTCTTAGACTGGAGACAATGATCTATTGACTGACAGCTATTTAAACCCTATTCTCAACTAGCTGGTAGAGCATGTTTTGACAATGTATTTAGAAGTGGATATGATATTTTTTTCACTTGAACTTGGTTGGTCAACTCCCTGAGCCCTCCTTCACCAAATAACATAATTTGTATCCTTTTGGGTTGCTGCAGTTCAGTGTTGTGGCACTGTAACTTTGCCCACTCAGAGGGCTGTGAAGAAACTCAAAATCAGTCACCAAAGACAGCAGGAATTCAGTTGATGAGGGATTAATATTGCACCATTCCTGTTAGTAGAGACCTTGGAGAGTAGGAATATGAAAATAAATCGTTAAAATGTACAAATACTGAAAAGCATATTTTTTTTTGTTGATGTGCTCAAACAGGCGGTTCATTCTATGTGAGTAGAAAGTACGGTGGACTAAGAATAGGGTACATTTATTTTTTATATAGAAATTATGTATTTTAGTGAAAAATATAATTGAACACTACTGTATATTAGGCAACATAAATAGGTTTAACTACATTTCATGACCCATGGGGTCAATTAATCAATATTCAGACATAAGGTTGCCTATAAAATAATGCCTATAATAGTAATAAAAAACTGCACTTTATCTAAAAATGTAGTCTGGATCATTTGAAATGTAAGAAAACCATTTTGAAGGACATTGCATTATACACCACCTGGAAACGCATTTATTTCAATGTCATTTAATATTCATGTTTAGACATACAAAATTACCCTAATTTGTTCAAATTTGACATCAGTCCTCATTTAAAAATGATTACCTACCTATACAAGCCATTGACGCAGACCTAAAGTAATTTTTGTAATATTGTTGAGATTAGTAAAAATGCTATGCAAATTCACATTCTGTTATGGCATTGCTGGTATGACCCTCTTTTGACTTCTCAACCGCCTTGTAGAGCTCTGTTATTTCCAAAGGTCTTCTTTGAGTTGTTAGTAATAGGAAGTTAAGGAGAAATATTTTTTCAAGAAGAGACAGTTAAAGGGTTAAAATACAGTGTATAGTGTACATTTCAGATTTAGATAGAAGATAGAAGATACAGTATTCCAAAATACTACCATACTGTAAACAGTAAACAGTTAGTGCCTTGCAAAGAAAGTTTGGTAAGTCTTTATTTACCTAGTGTCCATTATGCTAAAATATCCCTTAAAAGTAGTTATTTGGTAATTATTGAGTAATTACCATTTTCAAGTGTAGTTTTGAGGTAAATACCAAGTAAATAACACCCTATAATATAAAGCGTACCAATTATTTTACTTAACTTGTTTCCTCATGTGTACCCCACTGAACACTCCCACACATATGTGACTTTTTCCCCTCAAATCTTGAGCCACATAGAATAAAAGCATTGTGTCTTCTTTTTCAGGAAAGAAGCAGCTTGTTTTGGGCTAAATCTTAGTATTACACGGTCTTCATGTTCCCACTATCCACCATCTCATTTCACTCAAAGAGACTAGTGACTTTGTGTGTTTCTTATGACTCCACCTTCAGTCCACCTTAGGCTGCTCTGTCAAGTGCATTTCCTACTGAAACCAAACATCCTGCATCTTGGAAGAACTCCCTGCCCTATACCCTCTTTCTCCCTCTCCCTCTATCTCTCTCTCGCTGTCTCTCTCTTTCCCTCTCTCCATTGACACACACAAAAACACGCAAAACACGTTTGGTCATTATGTCAACAAAAGTATGGATATATTGTGTGATGGATATATTTATTTTTTATTCGCTTTTCTTTATTTCTGCCTTTAACAAAAACATCTAATACAGTATATACTGTAGTAATAATTTTTTACATTAGTCTCTAATAGGAAGTACAGTTAAATAGTGCCACTTCATGTTTGCATCACCATGGTTACGAGATATGGACATTTCTCCAAACAACATTTTCCAGGGGATTACTAAACTCTAGGGAATAACAAGCGTCAACAAGGAGGAGATTGTGGTCCTGAAGGCAGCATTAGTGCATAAATCGGGGTGGGGAGAAAATAGCACAAGGTAAACATCCTGGCCTGACCTCACCACAGGCGCTGGGAAGAAAGACTTACTTTATGGGGCTTTTCTCTGACGACTCACCCAGACCACAGAGAAGCCTAGCTAAATCACAACACACTCCTACCTGCTGAGCTGACGGTCATATCCGTGAGCTTTACAAAGATATTTAAATCAGGGCCACCTACAGTAGCAAAGGGAAAGGACCTCCATGTGTGTTGGCGAGAAGAGTTTTCTTCCACTGACCTGCAATCTACACTGACTGAGCTCCAATTGAGATGATTCAACATAGATGTGAGAAGTAAGTTATTAACAGTGAGGAATAGTCTAGTCTCGTCTACGGTAGCTAGATGCCGATCTTGTGTAGAAATAATCAGACAAATCCATATTATTTTGTCCTTTCAGCAACATCTCTTTTGACTGTTCCTCCTTTGTGCTATGGGCTGTGCCCTTCCTTGTTCATAATTTTGGATACATTTTGTCAGTTAAATCTCACTTCCTGTTGTATTCTACCCATTAGTCCGGCGCTGATACCATTCCCCTCCAGACTCAGGTGTCTCAGCGGAAACTGTGTCCTACAAAGCAGTGCCTCTATGATGTCACTTCCTCCCACCTCACCAATCCCATTCCTGTCCAGATCCACCTGCCTCAGGCTCTCATTGTCTCTCAGCATGTCAGCGAATAGCCTGGCTCCCTGGTCTCCTAGGTTAATCTCATCTAGGATAATATGGCTGAGGGTCACATTTCCCTTCAGAGAGTCAAACAGCTCCCGCCATGCCTCTAGGTCCGCACCAGTGGTCCGGGCCAGCCCCAGGTACTGCAGTCTTGAGTGGAGTCTCATGTAGGACGTCAACACCCTCAGGCCATCGCTGCTCAGCCCATTCCCTCCTATGTCCAGCTCCAACAGTGAAAAGGGGTAGAGAGTGCCCTCGGTGGTTGGAGGGAGGGTGACAACTGGGTGTGTTAACAGGTTCTGGCCCTGGACCTGTGGGTCTTCGATCCAATGTAGTGATGTTGGGTCTCTCATTGTTATCTCCTGGAGTTGAGCCAGTCCACTAAGTAGTGTCAGAACTCCAAGGTCTCCCAGTTTGTTTCCAAACAAGCTGTAGAGAAGAAGAAGAATCAGCAGTCAATCACACCTTCCAACTAATATATTCATTTTTCTTTGAAGTGGCTCACCTAACAGATAAAGCTTTCTTTGGACAGCTGTTGTTACCAGGTTTTCCCATTAAAGTCCAAACATCAATTTTTCAAGGGAGACCTCTCACCTGACAGATCTTCTTGAGAGATATAACGTGTACGCTTGTGCGGCCATGGGTCAAGCAATAGTTGCTATAAATTGTGACATATTAGCTGGAACTAAACATCAAAGGCTTTGTGACACTGAGTCACAGCAACCCTCTGACCTAGGGCTTGGCCCACAGCAGGACCTTGTTGGGAGATATGGAGCCTACTCTTGTCCTGATCACTTGTATGTCCATGGATTTACAGTATGTCATTGGAGTCCTGGAAAAACCTTCTATCTTCAAAAAGTAAACTTCATTCACAAACTTTCAGAGAACAATTTATGTATAAGAGAGAGTTATTCACACACACACACACACACACACACACACACACACACACACGCAGTGACTCACAGCAGTCCTTTGACCTGGGGCTTGGCCCCCAGTAGGTCCAGGAGGATGTGAGCCCCGTGGGGTCCGAGGTGGTTGAGGTTGAGATTGAGGAATGTGACCTCCGAGGGGCTCCTCTTCAGGGCCGTGGCCAGGCTCAGTAGGAGTGCATCTGTCAGGCCAGTGTTCCTCAGCACCAGCTGCTCCACCTCATCAGACGTGTTCAACACCCGCATCATGGCATCCAGCTAGAAACAGAGATAATGACAGTGAAAAGTAATCAGAGATATAACAGAGAGTCAATGTCAACGAAAACCGATACATGAAAAAAAAAATGTTTTACATACACTTAGGTTGGAGTCATGAAAACTTGTTTTTCAACCAATCCACACATTTCTTGTTAACAAACTATAGTTTTGGCAAGTCGGTTAGGACATCTACTTTGTGCATGACACAAGTAATATTTCCAATAATTGTTTACAGACAGATTATTTCACTTATAATTCACTGTATTACAATTCCAGTGGGTTAGAAGTTTACATACACTAAGTTGACTGTGCCTTTAAACAGCTTGGACAATTCCAGAAAATGATGTCATGGCTTTAGAGGCTTCTGATAGGCTAATTGACATCATTTGAGTCAATTGGAGGTGTACCTGTGGATGTATTTCAAGGCCTACCTTCAAACTCAGTGCCTCTTTGCTTGACATCATGGGAAAATCAAAAGAAATCAGCCAAGACCTCAGAAAAAAAAATTGGTGACCTCCACAAGTCTGGTTCATCCTTGGGAGTAATTTCCAAACGCCTGAAGGTACCACGTTCATCTGTACAAACAATAGCACGCAAGTATAAACACCATGGGACCACGCAGCCATCATATCGCTCAGGAAGGAGACTGGTTATGTCTCCTAGAGATGAACGTACTTTAGTGCGAAAAGTGCAATCCCAGAACAACAGCAAAGGACCTTGTGAAGATGCTGGAGGAAACAGGTACAAAAGTATCTATATCCACAGTAAAACGAGTCCTATATCGACATAACCTGAAAGGCCGCTCAGCAAGGAAGAAGCCACTGCTCCAAAACTGCCATAAAGAAGCCAGACTACGGTTTGCAACTGCACATGGGGACATCGTACTTTTTGGAGAAATGTCCTCTGGTCTGATGAAACAAAAATAGAACTGTTTGGCCATAATGACCATCGTTATGTTTGGCCGAAGAACACCATCCCAACCGTGAAGCACTGGGGTGGCAGTATCATGCTGTGGGGGTGCTTTGCTGCAGGAGGGTCTGGTGCACTTCACAAAATAGATGGCATCATGAGGAAGGAAAATTATGTGGATAAATTGAACATCAGTCAGGAAGTTATAGCTTGCTCGCAAATGGGTCTTCCAAATGGACAATGACCCCAAGCATACTTCCAAAGTTGTAGCAAAATGGCTTAAGGACAACAAAGTCAAGGTATTGGAGTGGCCATCACAAAGCCCTGACATCAATCCTATAGAACATTTGTGGGCAGAACTGAAAAAGCATGTGTGAGCAAGGAGGCCTACAAACCTGACTCAGTTACACCAGCTCTGTCAGGAGGAATGGGCCAAAATTCACCCAACTTATTGTGGGAAGCTTGTGGAAGGCTACCCAAAAACGTTTGACCCAAGTTAAACAATTTAAAGGCAATGCTACCAAATACTAATTGAGTGTATGTAAACTTCTGACCCACTGGGAATGTGATTAAATAAATAAATGCTGAAATATATCATTCTCTCTACTATTATTCTGACATTTCACATTCTTAAAATAAAGTGGTGATCCTAACTGACCTAAGACAGGGAATTTTTACTAGGATGAAATGTCAGGAATTGTGAAAAACAGAGTTTAAATGTATTTGGCTAAGGTGTATGTAAACTTCTGACGTCAACTGTATATATACACTGTATATTGAATGAAAGAGTAGCACCCTCATGATGGGTCCAGATAGGGAGATGACAAGGAGTGTAGGCAGAGTGATAACTCTTCTATTTAGACTGGTCATTAGATCTGTCAGAGGTTGTTTATGTTATATGATTGAACGAATATGCAGCACCCATCATCAATTTATGATATTCCAGCTATGTGAAGTTTTGGATGGTTCTACAGTGCGCAGATTCTGAAATACATCTGTCTCATCCTATTGAGGAATTACAATCCATATCTACTGGCTAGAATTATGTAAACTGAGACTTTTCGGAATTCAGACAGCAATTCCTCATATTGGCACAGACTTCAATAAATCCAGCGATTCCTGTCGGCACCCCAGTGTGATGTGGTGATTTGAAGGAGTCAGGCGCAGGAGGGTAAATCACAGAATAACAGGATTTATTCCGGAATACAAAGTTACACAATAAAGCATCAAAACAGTCCAGTGCGCAAAACAGGCGCACTGAAACCACGAAGGCACACGGGGAAAATAACCCGGTGATAAAAAATACAAGGAGCTCCACCGAGCTTCACTAATCTCACAATATACAATCACACACAAAGACAAGGGGGCAGAGGGAACACTTATACAGGTACTGATGACGGGATATGAACCAGGTCTGTGTAATAAACAAGACAAAACAAATGGAATGAAGAGATGAGGAGCGGCAGTGGCTAGAAGGCCGGTGACGACGAATGCCGAAGCCTGCCCGAACAACGAGAGGAGGCAGCCTCGGAGGCAGCTTCGGAGGAAGTCGTGACAGTACCCCCCCTTGACGCGCAGCTCCAGCAGCGCGCCGACACCGGCCTCAGGGACGACCAGGAGGACGCGGAGCAGGGTGAGCCGGATGGTGACGGTAGAAATCCCGCAACAGGGAGGGATCGAGGATATCCCTCACCGGGACCCAGCACCGCTCCTCCGTATCCTCCTGCCAATCCATGAGGTACTGAAGGCCCCCCACCTGACACCTCGAATCCAGGATGGAACGGATGGAGTACGCCGGGGGCCCCTCGATGTCCAGAGGGGGCGGAGGGACCTCCCGCACCTCAGAGTCCTGGAGCGGACCAGCCACCATCGGACTGAGGAGAGACCCATTGAACGAGGGGTTAATACAATAATCTGGAGGGAGTAATAACCTATAAGTAGCCTTGTTTATTCTCCTCAGGACTTTGAACGGCCCCACAAACCGCGGGCTCAGGTTCCGGCAGGGCAGGCGGAGGGGAAGATTCTGGGTTGAGAGCCAGACCCGATCACCCGGTACAAAGACCGGGGCCTCACTGCGGTGGCAGTCAGCGTTGGCCTTCTGGCGACGCACAGCATGTTGGAGGTGGACGTGGGCAGCGTTCCACGTCTCCTCCGCGTGCCAAAACCAGTCATCCACGGCAGGAGCCTCGGTCTGGCTCTGATGCCATGGTGGCAGAACCGGCTGATAACCTAAAACACATTGAAATGGTGTTAGGTTAGTGGAGGTGTGGCGGAGAGAGTTCTGGGCATATTCGGCACATGGCAAGAACACCGACCTCTCCCCCGGTAGGAGTGTAGGATCGCAGGAACCTACCCACATCCTGATTCACCCGTTCTACCTGCCCATTAGACACGGGGTGAAAACCAGAGGTCAGGCTGACCTGGATGTGAACTGGGGACCCCGGTCAGAGAATATGTCCTCTGGCACCCCGTAGTGCCAGAAGACGTGTGTAAACAGGGCCTCCGCAGTCGTGGGGAGACCGGGCAGAGGAAGGAGGGGGCAGGCTTTGGAAAAGCAGTTCACAATGACCAGGATGGTGGTGTTACCTTGAGAGAGGGGAAGATCAGTAAGGAAGTCTCTATGTCCGCGTCCATCGCCCATACTACCGGCGTGGCGAGGGTTCAGCCTCCTCGTTGCCCGGATGTACTCCAGGTTACGGTGGTCCGTCAAGACGCGGAAAGGGTGTTTCGCCCCCTCGAGCCAGTACGGTCAGGGCTCGGACAACAGCCAACAGCTCCCAATCACCAACGTCGTAGTTCTGCTCCGCTGGGCTGAGCTTCTTGGAGAAGAAGGAACAGGGGTGGCGCTTGGGTGGCGTGCCCGAGCGTTGAGACAGGACAGCGCCTATCTCTACCTCAGACGCATCCACCTCCACTACGAACGGTAGTGATGGATCGGGATGGGCCAGTACCGGGGCTGAGGTGAACAGAACCCTCAGGTTACTGAAGGCTCTGTCAGCCTCAGCAGACCAGCAGAGCCGGGAAGGCCCACCCTTCAACAGTGATGTGATGGGAGCTGCGACCTTGCCAAATCCCCGGATAAACCTCTGATAGTAATTGGCAAAGCCAATAAAGCGCTGCACCTCCTTTACCGTGGTTGGAGTCGGCCAATAACGGACGGCTGAAATGCGATCTCCCTCCATCTCCACACCTGAGGTGGTAATGCGGTATCAGAGGAAGGAGACGGACTGTTGGAAAAACAGACACTTTTCTGCCTTGGCATAAAGGTCATGTTCCAACAGTTGGGCCAGCACTTTGCGAACCAGGGACACATGCTCAGCACGTGTAGCAGAATACACCAAAACGTAATCGATGTAGACCATTACACCACGACCAAGCATGTCCCGAAACACCTCATTCACAAATGACTGGAAGACGGATGGAGCATTCATCAAACTGTAAGGCATCACCAGGTATTCATAATGCCCCGTGGTTGTGCTGAATGCTGTCTTCCACTCGTCCCCCTCTCGGACACGCACCAGGTTGTACGCACTCCGGAGATCTAATTTTGTGAAAAAGTGTGCACCATGCATTGACTCGATCACAGATGGAAGGGGGTAGAGGATAACTATAACATATTGTCCCCTTGTTCAGTGCTCGATAATCAATGCAAGGGCGCAGACCTCCGTCTTTCTTCTTCACAAAAACGAAACTTGAGGAGGCGGGTGAAGTGGAGGGATGTATGAACCCCTGGCACAGGGACTCTGAGATGTATGTCTCTATAGCCTCCATTTCAGCCTGCGACAGGGGATACACATGACTCCTGGGAGGCACAGCATCTACCCGGAGGTTTATCGCGCAATCCCCCACCCGATGAGGTGGTAATTTGGTTGCCTGAATTTTGGAAAATGGGGGGAACGCGCACGGTGGAGGTACTGTCTGGACTTTCCATCAACGCCGAAGCCTGCTCGAACAAGGAGAGGAGGCAGCCTCGGAGGAAGTCGTGACACCCAGTCACATTTGATTGATATTAAACAGATTTTGGAACCTTAATCTGTGAGCAGAGGATCGAGACATTTGCTGTTTGTCTGTGAGGATAACTGAGGAACGTCTTAGACAGGGATCTGACTGGGACTGTGGTGGTATGGACCGAGGTATGGAGGTATGTAGTGAGCATACCTGGGTTCAAATACTATTTGAAATATGTAAAATACTTAAACTGTGCTTGATTAAGATCTGCCTGTTGCAATGCAACCAATAGAAAAGTCCCAAAAGTGCAAACCACACCCACCTGGCACTCCAGACAGGCTAAAACAATAGCTCAAAAATATTTCAAAGATTTCATATAGTATTTGAACCCAGGTCTGGTCAGGGGGGAGACACTAGCTAACTTGAGAAACTAACGTTATGGTCTGGCCACGGTCAACATGCAGCAGGCCATCTTGCTAGACTGTGTGGAATGTTTCAGCCTGCTATATCAGGTGATCATATGATGGACACGGTTGAACTGAATGCTCCTTCATCATCTGAAGGTGATGATGAGCTAAGCATCTGTAACAGACACAGTAACAGACACAGTAACAGACACAGACGCCCTTTGACAAACTGCACTGTTTTAAATTTACTGTATTCAGCTTCATGTCATTGTGGGGTGTATTTTGGAGTACCTTCCAAAGGGACGTTTCTAATTGTTTTTCTACACCTGTTCTCAACAAATTAGCACCATTTACATTTTTGGTGCTTGTTCTGTTGCTTTTCACTTCCTAGAAGTATGTGTACAGAGTTGCTATAATCGCAGCTTGTTTATTTCACACCATGTAGCCTACCTGGGCCTGTAGATCTTGTTCTATCGTTGAGATGTGTGTTTGACCCGTGTTGAGTACAGCGCTGTCCTGGTCCCCTGTCTGCCTGTCTGGGTGCAGAGTGCTGTCGCTCTCCTCACTGAGCTCCACATCTGAGCCCGAGGGGTTGGGAAAAGATAACAGCTTCTTCTCCAGACGCCGCCTCTCCAGGACTGGACACACAGACATGGACCACATATAATTCACCGCCTGTTCACTGATTGGATGAAATGGAAAAGTGGTGGATGGATGTCTAAATACATCGTCAAATAATCATTAAACACTTAATCATTCTCAATTCAGAAAGCCATTGATTTTAGGTTTATATTCTAGATCAGGCATTAGTATGTGTATTACAGTGTATATAAATCAGTTACAGTAAGTACTCTGGGGGTATCCCAGCCCGTACTGAGCCATGGTTTATTTACTCACTGTTTGCCTTGAACCAGTGCTGTTTGTTTGGGCTCAAGTCCAGCCCAGTGCTCATTTCCACACATTCTTTATAGAAGTCCTTCAGTCTTTCCCCATTTCTGCTTTTTCCATTTGATCCCAAATCCTTATTTTTCGTCCCGCTCTGCTTACTCAGAGCTTCTTCATCCTGCAATGAATCTTTAAAAAGCAACACTCTGATTCGTTCCAATTTCTTTCCAACTCACAAAGTACATAAATGGAAATACCTTGATAAAGATTAATGGTGGGTCATCTGTATCTTAACTTCAAAGTATGGTAGCATGATGCCAGACTCTTCTGCCATTAACCATTCTCTCATCTCTAGGAATGAAGAATGACACACACATACACACAAACACACACACACACACACACACACACACACACACACACACACACACACACAGGAGGTAAAAATTGTAAAAGAATACTTACCAAAGACTTTGACTCTGTTATTGGACTCTTTCTGTGGGGTCTTGGCATTGTCTTTGTCTTTCTCTGGGGTCTTATTAACTTTTCTGGTCTTTTTCTGGTGCGCTCTGCTCTCTGGGCTAGACAGGGATAGGTCCTCGTGCTCACCTGTGACCCCTGACCCCACTGACCCCTTGCTGTCTTCTCTCTCATTAGCCAGGGCCTTCCTGTCTTCTCTGGGATTGGCTGGAGCCTTGCTGTCCTCTCTCTCATTGGCAGTGTCCTTGCTGTCTTCTGTCTGACGGGATTGGCTCTTGCGTCTTTTGGGCTTCCCTGGCTTCCCGTTCTCCTTCATGTTGGTACAAGCAGGATTTCCACTGTCTGTAGACCAGCTGCCTGTGCTCCCGTCCTTCAGGTTCTTCCTAGTTCTCCTCCTCACAGCCTTCTTTGGCTTGGCTTCTGGTTTGGCTGGGAGAAACACAGGAGACGAGGGACAAGACTCCACTATGGTGCCTATACAGAATAAATATTATTATGGTACAGTTTTTTTATCACTTTGGTGCAAAGTACAGTATGTGGTAAATTTCCACAACTCTTAGTACAAAACTCAAAACAGATCATCAAAGAGGCAGTTGTTTAAAACACAACACAAAATCATACAGTCACTTTTTCACCAAACTTAATCAGTGTTTCATCTAGAAATACGTTTCACATTGCAATAAATTTTTATATAAGGTATTTGCGTTTCACAGTACAATTATCACATTATGTTTAATATGATTCTCTTCTCTTTTGTTAAAATACATTTTACTATAACTTAATCTGACTGCTCTTAATTGATGATCACTTAAACATTTGGTAAACCTATAGATTTTATATCTGGTTTGTCTACTACAGATTTTGAGATCTACATGATGAAAATGTATGTCTGTAAAGTAGAAACATAAAAAGTATGATATATACTCAAATATACTACTATGATGATGACTAATATGATTTTACTCTACAGTAAGTTAAACATATACTGTACATACAGTGCATTCAGAAAATATTCAGACCCTTCACTTTTTCCACATTTTGTTACGTTACAGCCTTATTCTAAAATGGATTAAATAAAACATTTCCTCATCAATCTACACACTATACCCCATAATGATGAAGTGAAAACAGGCTTTTAGAAATGTCTTGCACACTTATAAAAAATAAAAAACAGAAATACCTTATTTAAATAAGTATTCAGACCATTTGCTATGAGACTCAAAATTGAACTCAGGTGCATCATGTTTCCATTGATCATCCTTGAGATGTTTCTACATTGGAGTACACCTGAGCTAAATTAAATTGATAGGACATAATTTGGAAAGGCAAACACCTGTCTATATAAGGTCCCACTGTTGACAGTGCATGTCAGAGCAAAAACCAAGCCATGATGTCGAAGGAATTGTCCGTAGAGCTCCGAGACAGGATTGTGTCGAGGGTACTAAAACATTTCTGCAGCATTGAAGGTCCCCAAGAATACAGTGGCCTCCATCATTCTAAGATGGAATAAGTTTGGAACCACCAAGACTCTTCCTAGAGCTGGCCACCCAGCCAAACTGAGCAATCGGGGGAGAAGGGCCTTGGTCAGGGAGGTGACCAAGAACCCGATGGTCACTCTGACAGAGCTCCAGAATTCCTCTGTGGAGATTGGAGAACCTTCCAGAATGACAACCATCTCTGCAGCACTCCACCAATCAGGCCTTTATGGTAAAGTGGCCAGACGGAAGGCACTCCTCAGTAAAAGGCACATGACAGCCCGCTTGGAGTTTGCCAAAGGCACCTAAAGGACTCTCAGACCATGAGAAAAAAGATTCTCTGGTCTGATGAAACCAAGGATGAAGTCTTTGGCCTGAATGCCAAGCGTCACATCTGGAGGAAACCTGGTACTATCCCTACGGTGAAGCATGGTGGTGGCAGCATCATGCTGTGGGGATGTTTTTCAGCGGCAGGGACTGGGAGACTAGTCAGGATTGAGGGAAAGATGAAGGGAGCAAAGTAGAGATATCCTTGATGAAAACCTGCTCCAGAGCGCTCAGGACCTCAGACTGGGGGCAAAGCATCACCTTCCAACAGGATGACGACCCTAAGCACACAGCCAAGACAATGCAGGAGTGGCTTCTGGGCAAGTCTCTAAATGTCCTTGAGTGGCCCAGCCAGAGCCTGGACTTGAACCCGATCGGACATCACTGGAGTGACCTGAAAATTGCTGTGCAGCAACGCTCCCTATCCAACCTGACAGAGCTTGAGAGGATCTTCAGAGAAGAATGGGAGAAACTCCCCAAATACAGGGGTGCCAAGCTTGTAGGGTCATACCCTAGAAAAATCGAGGCTGTAATCGCTGTCAAATGTGCTTCAACAAAGTACTGAGTAAAGGGTCTGAATACTTATGTAAATGTGATATTTCTGTTATTTTTCATTTATTTTATTAGCAAAAATAAAACATAATTAAAAAATTGCTTTATTGGTCATTATGGGGTATTGTGTTTTGATTGATGAGGGAAAAACACAATTTAATCAATTTTAATATAAGGCTGTAACGTAACAAAATGTGGATAAGTCAAGGGGTCTGAATACTTTCCGAATGCACTGTATATATGTACATGATCAGAGCTGTACCGTACTGTAAATGTAAATGTACTGTATGTAACAAATACCGTTTTTTTTATCGCTTTGGTACTATTTTCACAAGTACAATACACAATTACAATACAGGTGGAAGATGCATGATTGCCAGTCCCATGAGTGTACCACCCTCCTTCAGGCCGTGGATGAGGCATGCAATGATTTCAATCCAGACCTACTGAATGTCAGGCTTGGATTCGCCATGCAAAAGGTTTTTCCCCAGGTGCATGACCAGAACCTGTGGCCAAATGATCAAGACAAGCTTGATGCAAATTAGTGCCTGGTAGACATTGTTTCCTTCATTTATTTCATTTGATTACATTCAATGATCAAACCTTCGATCACACATGGAACAGAAATTATGGAAATGTGATCAGTCAATTTTAATGGGTAGTGCAAGTGTCTTGCCTAATGGAAAAACAGTGTAATGTACAGTAATTTACAATACTGTAGCATAATACATTCAAAGGGCAATTTTGAAACATGTATCTTACTGGATTAACTGGTTGTTAAAATAACTAAATTGAGGCCTCCCGAGTGGCACAGCGGTCTAAGGCAGTGCTTGAGGCGTCACTACAGATCCGGGTTCGATCCCGGGCTGTGTCGCAGGCGGCCGCATGAGGCGATGCACAATTGGCCCAGCATCGTTAGGTGAGGCCGGCCGGGATGTCCTTGTCCCATCGTGTGCTAGCGACCCCTGTGGGCAGGCCGGGCGCATGCACGCTGACACGGTCGCCAGTTGTACGGTGTTTCCTCCGACACGTTGGTGCGGCTGGCTTCCGGGTTAAGCGAGCAGCGTGTCAACAAGCAGTGCGGCTTGGCAGGGTCGTGTTTCGGAGGCAGGGTCGTGCTCTCGACTTTTGCCTCTCCCGAGTCCGTACAGGAGTTGCAGCGATGGGACAAGACTGTCACTACCAATTGGAGAGAAAAAGGGGTAAAAAGTATATAAAAAACTAACAATTGTACTAAATTGAGAAGATATCGTCATGTTGTGTTTTGGTGAATAATTCAATGTTCTCGTTATATTTCACAGCAAACTTATATTTTGGATCAGTGGTTGTGTGGTGAAAGATGTCTACAAACAAAATGAATGCACAGTGAAAGGTTTTGAATGTAAGACTACAAGTGTTTGGAGTTTTGTACTAAGAGTTTTTAAAATTCAGCACATACTTGTGAAAATAGTACCAAAGCGATAAAAAAACCAACTTAGGGGAACAAGATATTCAATCCATTCATACACATAGCATGCTATTAGAACAATCAAATAAATAATACAATTGAATGTATAATTTCTTTAATAAATAACTTTTCGAAATGTGTGCTGTGCTGTGTTTCTAAAATTATGACTATGCAGAACATTAAAACAGGAATTGGACCGTCTCCCAAAAAGTTGTTGATGAATGAGTAGGAAAATTGATTACTTTGAGACAGCCCTTTATTTCCATGCTTAATACCATTGCCAGGGTTCTGGTCTGGAGGCAGACTAAGGTTCTCTTGTGTGCCATTGTTCAGCTGCTGGTAAGAGCTGTATTTGTTTCGGAAACTTGTACATCTGAAAATAATGAAAAATAAGTGTTGAACATGACTTGAATATTTCCACAGTAGGTCGGTCAATAGGAACACAGTGGGTGAAGCCATTGCTCACTGCCATAGGACATGGACTTGGATCTTCTTGCTTTCTGTCAGTCTGTATTCAGGTTTTTATAGTAAACATAAAACATTGTTATAGCCATGGCTTTGGTTAAGGGTGACATTGATGTATAGGCTAGAGGTTAAAGTGATACTTTGGGGATTTTGGCAATGAGGCCCTTTATCTACTCCCCCAGAGTCAGATGAACTAGTGGATACCATTTTTATGTCTATAGGAAGGAAGATAGAGTTAGGTTTGCGAGCCAATGCTAACTAGTGTTAGCGCAATGACTGGAAGTCTATGGGTATCTGCTAGTATGGTAAAATCCCGAAGTATCCCTTTAAGCTGAAATAGATTTTTCAGGGACTTTAAAGCCTATCATATATAAGCAATTTTTACTGACTATTTATTGATTGATTGGTTTGTGTGTGTTTATTGTTTGAGAAATCGAACAGAAAAATCCAATAAATGGCTATAAATAAACTTGAACTAGGTTTAATGCTGACAATAATTTGTAGGTGAAGAAGTTGAGCTGACATTATATTCATTTGTAGTCTGAAAGAGGTTGAATCATATATACTGTGTATATATATAATATTGATATATTGTCTATCTATGGGTTGAATGCTCACGTATAGCAGGGCATCCCTCCAGCCAGCCAGGTGAGTCTGAAGCAGCTCTTCTTGCCCTGCTGGAAGCCCGGGGCATAGCGGTACTCACAGCAGGAGCTGATCCTAGCAGCGATGAGCCTGTTCACGTACATGGTGCCACTAAAGGGGTAACCCCAGTGCCTCTGGGAGACCCACTGGAACTGCTCTACAGGAGGGGACACAGGAGACAGAACAGGGGAGTTAGAGGTGAGGATATAATGTAAAGGGATATAAGAGGATTAGTTCAACAAAGCTACAAACTTTACCTTGGTTCTCCCGTGAGACATAGTTTTCTCCCCTCACCCCCTTTATTCCCAATCCCCTGAGACACACATATAAAAACAGCTCACCGAGAGGCTGGAGTATGAGAACAGGGTATGCCACAGTGCACCTGGATTTAAGTTTAAGGGCTGTGTCATCTACAGGGCGCACTTTTTCCCAAAAATAATTGAGATTCAGTGCTATAGGGAGAAATCCACACAGAGAAGCCGTGTGGAAAATATAGTGCATTTTTTTGTAGAAGCTAAGTTGAAATGCCCCAAAATAAAATCAACACCATTTTGGTCGCATATGCTCCTAAATATGTTTGCTGTGATCTGGAATTTTGATTTGGTAGTGGTGTGGAACAGGTCAGGGTTCCCGGCACAGCCAGAAGAGGACTGGCCACCCCTCAGAGCCTGGTTCTTCTCTAGGTTTCTTCCTAGGTTCCTGCCTTTCTAGGTAGTTTTTCCTAGCCACCGTGCTTCTACATCTGCTTTGCTTGCTGTTTGGGGTTTTAGGCTGGGTTTCTGTTGTCACGGATTCAGCCGAGGCTGCTCCTCCTCCTTGCTCGGGCAGGCTTCGGCGTTCGTCGTCCCCGGAGTACTAGCTGCTGCCGATCAATGTTTCGGTGTTTGTCTAGTTTAGTCTTTATTGTTTTCACCTGTTCCCCATTATGTTTGATTGTATTCCATATATTTACCCCTGTCTCTCATTTGGAATTTGTGTGTTATTGTTCATTGTTACGTGTGTCGTTGGTGAGCGGGTTAGTTCCTCCCTGTGTGGAGGTATTCTGTGTTGTGTTCTTTACTTAATTTAGTAAAGTACGTTTCTTAGAGTTTCTGCGTCCTGCGCCTGACTTCTTCCACCGCATTACACTGACATTCGTGACATCTGTATAGGCACTTTGTAACATATGCTGATGTAAAAAGGGCTTCATAAATACATTTGATTGATTTGGTAGCACCGTGCGCCAAACAAATATTCACCCAGATAATGGCAAAATTATATGTATTCTAAGAGTTGTTATATTTGTATAATTTGAGCAGCGCACATTGCGAGCAAGTCGATACTGTATTATTTCACCTCACCTGAATGAGTGAAGAGGAAATTCAGCAACTGGAGCATCAGCCTTCATCAACTCAAGGTGTTACAGATCAAATACTGAAGGAGGGTTTATATATTTCAAACTGGCCTAGATTTCCCTGTGTAGCTCAGTTGGTAGAGCGTGGCGCTTGCAACGCCAGGGTTGTGGGTTCGATTCCCACGGGGGACCAGTATGAGTACAGTTAGTGAGTGTATGCACTCACTAACTGTAAGTCGTTCTGGATAAGAGGGTCTGCTAAAACGTAAAACAAAACATGATGTGATTGGTAAATGAGTTTTAAAAATCTGACCAATAGGATGCCATTTTGAAATATGTGAAAGCCTCCACTTTCTGAACTGTAACACAGTTGGGGTGATAGGTGGCTCGGGGAGATGGCGGAAGCAGAAGTGTCTTTTGAAGCTGAAAACACGTCTAGTACAGTTAGCGAGAAAGATGAGTGGACAACAGTGAAGTCCAAGAATGGAACAAAAAGGGAAAATGAGTCTGATGAGTACGTTTTTTGGAAACTAATGTTTATTTGGAAAACCCTTTTGAAGTCACAAGGATGGTGAAGAGGGCGTTGGGAAAAGTGGATGCAGTCAAGTAACCTGGAGTGGTATGGTGTTGATATCGTGTGTATCTAAATAGCAAAAGGAGCGTGCATTGTGGCTCGTGAAATTATCAACGCATGAAGCGGACAGCTTTGATTTTCAGAGCAGGGCACCAGTAAAAGGTATTATCTCTGGCGTCCTGTTGGACATTAATAATCAATATCTTAGGCAAAATAATGCAGAAGTAGTTAATGCACGTTGCTTGACCCGTATGGAGAAAGGGAAAAAGGAGCAAAGTTGATCTGTATTATTGTTCTTTGGGGAAGAGTAATTACCACCCTATGCAAACTTGGGATATATAAGATACGTCGTAAGAACGTTTGCGCAAAACCCGATGCAATGCAAGAAGTGTAAAAAGTCCCACATATGCTGAGCACTTGTTGGCTGCTTTTCCTTCACTCTGTGGTCCGACTCATCCCAAACCATCTCAATTTGGTTGAGTTCGGGGGATTGTGGAGGCCAGGTCATCTGACGCAGCACTCCATCACTCTCCTTCTTGGTAAAATAGCACTTACCCAGCCTGGAGGTGTGTTGGGTCATTGTCCTGTTGATAAACAAATGATAGTCCCACTAAGCCCAAACCAGATGGGATGGCGTATTGCTGCAGAATGCTGTGGTAGCCATGCTGGTTAAGAATTCTAAATAGATCACAGACAGTGTCACCAGCAAAGCACCCCAACACCATAACACCTCCTCCTCCATGCTTCACGGTGGGAAATACACATGCGGAGATCATCCGTTAACCCACACCACATCTCACAAAGACACAGCCGTTGGAACCAAAAATCTCAAATTTGGACTCCAGACCAAAGGACAAATTGTCCATTGCTCGTGTTTCTTGGCCAAAGCAAGTCTCTTCTTGTTATTGGTGTCCTTTAGTTGTGGTTTCTTTGCAGAAATTCGACCATGAAGGCCTGATTCACGCAGTCTCCTCTGAACAGTTGATGTTGAGATGTTTCTGTTACTTGAACTCTGTGAAGCATTTATTTGGGCTGCAATTTCTGAGGCAGGTAACTCTAATGCAGCAATGGTAACTCTGGGTCTTCCATTCCCGTGGCGGTCCTCATGAGATCCAGTTCCTCATAGCGCTTGATGGTTTTTGCGACTGCACTTGAAGAAACTTTCAAAGTTCTTGAAATGTTCCGTATTGACTGACCTTCATGTCTTAAAGTAATGATTGACTGTTGTATCTATTTGCTTATTTGAGCTGTTTTTGACATAATATGGACTTGGTCTTTCACCAAATACGGCTATCTTCTGTATATCCCCCCTACCTTGTCACAACACAACTGATTGGCTCAAACACATTAAGAAGGAAAGAAATTCCATAAATTAACTTTCAAGAAGGCACACCAGTTAATTGAAATGCATTCAAGGTGACTACCTCATGAAGCTGGTTGAGAGAATGCCAAGAGTGTGCAAAGCTGTCATCAAAGCAAAAGGTGGCTATTTGAAGAATTTCAAATATAAAATACAGTGAGGGAAAAAAGTATTTGATGCCCTGCTGATTTTGTACGTTTGCCCACTGACAAAGAAATGATCAGTCTATAATTTGAATGGTAGGTTTATTTGAACAGTGAGAGACAGAATAACAACAAAAAAATCCAGAAAAACGCATGTCAAAAATGTTATAAATTGATTTGCATTTTAATGAGGGAAATAAGTATTTGACCCCCTCTCAATCAGAAAGATTTCTGGCTCCCAGGTGTCTTTTATACAGTTAACGAGCTGAGATTAGGAGCACACTCTTAAAGGGAGTGCTCCTAATCTCAGCTTGATACCTGTATAAAAGACACCTGTCCACAGAAGCAATCAATCAATCAGATTCCAAAATCTCCACCATGGCCAAGACCAAAGAGCTCTCCAAGGATGTCAGGGACAAGATTGTAGACCTACACAAGGCTGGAATGGGCTACAAGACCATCGCCAAGCAGCTTGGTGAGAAGGTGACAACAGTTGGTGCGATTATTTGCAAATGGAAGAAACACAAAATAACTGTCAATCTCCCTCGGCCTGGGGCTCCATGCAAGATCTCACCACGTGGAGTTGCAATGAGAACGGTGAGGAATCAGCCCAGAACTACATGGGAGGATCTTTGTCAATGATCTCAAGGCAGCTGGGACCATAGTCACCAAGAAAACAATTGGTAACACATTACGCTGTGAAGGACTGAAATCCTGCAGCGCCCGCAAGGTCCCCCTGCTCAAGAAAGCACATATACATGCCCGTCTGAAGTTTGCATCTGAATGATTCAGAGGAGAACTGGGTGAAAGTGTTGTGGTCGGATGAGACCAAAATGGAGCATCAACTTTGGCATCAACTCAACTCGCGGTGTTTGGAGGAGAAGGAATGTTGCCTATGACCCCAAGAACACCATCCCCACCGTCAAACATGGAGGTGGAAACATTATGCTTTGGGGGTGTTTTTCTGCTAAGGGGACAGGACAACTTCACCTCATCAAAGGGACGATGGACAGGGCCATGTACCATCAAATCTTGGGTGAGAACCTCCTTCCCTCAGCCAGGGCATTGAAAATGGGTCGTGGATGGGTATTCCAGCATGACAATGACCCAAAACACACGGCCAAGGCAACAAAGGAGTGGCTCAAGAAGAGGCACATTAAGGTCCTGGAGTGGCCTAGCCAGTCTCCAGACCTTAATCCCATAGAAAATCTGTGGAGGGAGCTGTAGGTTCGAGTTGCCAAACGTCAGCCTCGAAACCTTAATGTCTTGGAGAAGATCTGCAAAGAGGAGTGGGACAAAATCCCTCCTGAGATGTGTGCAAACCTGGTGGCCAACTACAAGAAACGTCTGACCTCTGTGATTGCCAACAAGGGTTTTGCCACTAAGTACTAAGTCATGTTTTGCAGAGGGGTCAAATACTTATTTCCCTCATTAAACTGCAAATCAATTTATAACATTTTTGACATGGGTTTTTCTGGATTTTTTTGTTGTTATTCTGTCTCTCACTGTTCAAATAAACCTACCATTAAAATGATAGACTGATCATGTCTTTGTCAGTGGGCAGACGTACAAAATCAGCAGGGGATCAAATACTTTTTTCCCTCGCTGTATATTTTAAATTGTTTAACACTTTTCTTTGGTTACTACATGATTCCATATGTGTTATTTCATAGTTTTGATGTCTTCACTATTATTCTACAATGTAGAAAATAGTACAAATAAAGAAAAACCCTTGAATGAGTAGGTGTTCTAAAACATTTGACCGGTAGTGTATGTGCGAACTATTTAGACTGGGAAGCATATGGTAAGCTTTATTCTAAACTTAACCCAATTCACCTAACCTGCTACGTAAATTCACCTAACCTTTGTTGTTTAAGTTATCCTAACATTTGTCGTTAGTTCCCCTAATCACCAACGTAAATTCTCCCCATAATTCTCCTTTGTTGTTACCATGCAATTAGCAACTTGGTCTCAGATAAAGATGTGTTATACTGTACAGTGGGGAAAAAAGTATTTAGTCAGCCACCAATTGTGCAAGTTCTCACACTTAAAAAGATGAGAGAGGCCTGTAATTTTCATCATAGGTACACGTCAATTATGACAGACAAAATGAGAAAAGAAAATCCAGAAAATCACATTGTAGGATTTTTAATGAATTTATTTGCAAATGATGGTGGAAAATAAGTATTTGGTCAATAACAAAAGTTTCTCAATACTTTGTTATATACCCTTTGTTGGCAATGACACAGGTCAAACGTTTTCTGTAAGTCTTCACAAGGTTTTCACACACTGTTGCTGGTATTTTGGCCCATTCCTCCATGCAGATCTCCTCTAGAGCAGTGATGTTTTGGGGCTGTCGCTGGGCAACACAGACTTTCAACTACCTCCAAAGATTTTTTATGGGGTTGAGATCTGGAGACTGGCTAGGCCACTCCAGGACCTTGAAATGCTTCTTACGAAGCCACTCCTTCGTTGCCCGGGCGGTGTGTTTGGGATCATTGTCATGCTGAAAGACCCAGCCATGTTTCATCTTCAATGCCCTTGCTGATGGAAGGAGGTTTTCACTCAAAATCTCACGATACATGGCCCCATTCATTCTTTCCTTTACACGGATCAGTCGTCCTGGTCACTTTGCAGAAAAACAGCCCCAAAGCATGATGTTTCCATCCCCATGCTTCACAGTAGGTATGGTGTTCTTTGGATGCAACTCAGCATTCTTTGTACTCCAAACACGACGATTTGAGTTTTTACCAAAAAGTTATATTTTGGTTTCATCTGACCATATGACATTCTCCCAATCCTCTTCTGGATCATCCAAATGCACTCTAGCAAACTTCAGACGGGCCTGGACATAAGCAGGGGGACACGTCTGGCACTGCAGGATTTGAGTCCCTGGCGGCGTAGTGTGTTACTGATGGTAGGCTTTGTTACTTTGGTCCCAGCTCTCTGCAGGTCATTCACTAGGTCCCCCCGTGTGGTTCTGGGATTTTTGCTCACCGTTCTTGTGATCATTTTGACCCCACGGGGTGAGATCTTGCGTGGAGCCCCAGATCGAGGGAGATTATCAGTGGTCTTGTATGTCTTCCATTTCCTAATAATTGCTCCCACAGTTGATTTCTTCAAACCAAGCTGCTTACCTATTGCAGATTCAGTCTTCCCAGCCTGGTGCAGGTCTACAATTTTGTTTCTGGTGTCCTTTGACAGCTCTTTGGTCTTGGACATAGTGGAGTTTGGAGTGTGACTGTTTGAGGTTGTGGACAGGTGTCTTTTATACTGATAACAAGTTCAAACAGGTGCCATTAATACAGGTAACGAGTGGAGGACAGAGAATTCTCTTAAAGAAGAAGTTACAGGTCTGTGAGAGCCAGAAATCTTGCTTGTTTGTAGGTGACCAAATACTCATTTTCCACCATAATTTGCAAATAAATTCATAAAAATCCTACAATGTGATTTTCTGGAAAAAATATGCTCAATTTGTCTGTCATAGTTGACGTGTACCTATGATGAAAATTACAGGCCTATCTCATCTTTTTAAGTGGGAGAACTTGCACAATTGGTGGCTGACTAAATATTTTTTTCCCCCACTGTACGTCCTCCAAGATGTATGATAAGTTACTATTTTACGAACGCTATTCCATTCAGATGTAATGTAACATATCATACTAAATGGATGTCACAGATTTACATACAGAATAATATGAATTGCACTGAGACCACATTGCATTTATTGCAATGGTGATAACTGCACAGCGCAAACAGAGAATACATCTGAGAAAATAGGTATAATTGTAAGTGCACCTAAATTATTTTTGGGACTCAGCGATTTCACAGCCGAGGCCTTGCAAGGAATCCTGTCGACGAATGTTCCGCCCTCACAGGCCCTTGAGCCTGTGTAGGGATGTGATTTGGATTGGACTTTGAAAGAAGGAGAGGGATGGGTGTTGATTCATTTTTATATTTTATTTGATGTCATTGTGAAATGATACAATGTATCAACTTTGCTCGGTTGAAGCCTGATTCTGTATATGGTCTGTGGTTGCACCTTTTTAAATGCTGCTCTTCTAGCCCAAAACCGTTCAAAAGTCATATTAGCTACCGGAGCTACATTGTTTTTTTTCTATTGCGGTTTCACAGGTCAAATTTTTTTATTTCAGAAACCCTTTTGCAGGAAGTTAACTATTTATTTGATAACAAACAACCTTGTCCAGTCATATTACTATATAGCGGGCTACCTGGTAGCTCTCGAAACCCTTATTCTCCGTATGTAGTGTTTTCAGCGGTTACATTTGCCCACGGTTGGCTCTGTGTGGATTACAATTCCAACGCTGTGTTTTAACATTTACAAACGTCAATAATCATCGCTTTCTAAATGATTTTCTAAACATATGCTGATATGCACCTTATCTTTCATGTCAGCGAGAAAGATTATTTCAAATAAAGAAGATACACTAATTGTAGCAGTTTTGCACAGATCCATACGCTGTGTGCCTCCAGTTGACGAACTACACTTCCTCCCCAGTTACTCTTACACACAGGTGTTCGGAGCACGCTACATAGCTAATTAGCACAGATGGCCGCCTATGTCTTCTGTCTGTCTTCCGTAACGAAGCGCTGTTACATGGAGATATGGCCGTGTAGGAACACTAACCCTAACCCTATAAAGGTGTGTAGTAATTTACCCTTTTTGTTTTTAGGAAATGATTTCTTGCTGGTATGAAAGATACATTCCTTATGTTTCCAAAACAGTACCGCAAGCGATGTGTGTTAACTTTCAGACCGAGCGTCTGGGCTCTTAACAAAACTCCCCCGGTAAAGAAGATACTATCGTCAATACGTGCTAAAGTAGTTAGCGTCTATGAAATGGGGTAGCTGCCTGGTAACTTGACAGCACTGGAAGAAAGGGGGCTCCTGGATAGCTACTAATGTAAGCTAGGGCCTAGGCTATATAATCATTTTAAATCAATACATTTTTTTTGTGCTAAATACTATTTGGTGCTTCTAACTTTTTAAAGTTAATTTAGTGCCCTGTATGGACCTACCTCCTGGTCGTACCAAGCCCTTGAAGACACAGATGTTCTCTCCTCCACAGATCTGCTGGAGCACTTTCAGCTCGTCCTGCTGTGTCCCTGCGGACCCTGACCCCGGGTGACCAAGTGACCCCAGGTAGGTCATCGTCACGGTGACGTTGGATCGCTTGGCCTCCTTCAATGCCTTTAGGTTACTCTGGTACAGTGGCCCAAGGTGAGATTATATATTTTCTCAGATTTGTTTGAATGCATCTCAGTATCTTAATATTTGTTTGAATGCATCTCAGTTATGAGTCAGTCAGACTAGTTACCTGTTTGTTGTTGTTATAGGCTGCAGTTCTCTGTGAGCCTATAGAAGAGAAGGATCCTCTGTGTTTGCTGTACAGATAAGGGCAGGAAGCACTTAGAGACCCTCTGACTGAAGCCAGACTGGAGGCCTTGGCTGTGATGGCAGGGAGGTAGACAAGTCCCATCCCGCCTACCCCTGGGTGAGCCACTGGTTTATTAAGCTGTGAAAAATTATGTCACAACCTGTTATGGTGAAAGCTGAAACAAACCAAGAGACCAGAGCGAATATTTTGATTATAATTAGTGTGGAAAGGATGTTTGTTTATTTTAAGTGTTTTGACATGTTTTGGTTATATGTCCTTAAACTCCTTACGGTAGACTGGATATGAAACCTTCAGACATGCACCTTCAAAACTGGAAAAACTGTCTGAAATGTTATGACTAGGGCCGTCATAATGAGAATAAGACAGTAAATACAGAATATATGTTTAATTGTCACATACGCCGTAGATTTCCACAGTGTCAGGGCTTTCCAGCAGAAGAAGCTTGCTCTTCCCACTGATGATGCTGGCAGCTACAGTCTTATTAGCAGTTCCGTATTGAGCTGGTATCTGTAGGAAGATGGAGAGATCACATACATGCCAGGTCAAGATTTTTCCATTTATTAAGAGAAATACCAAGACACATTTTTCCACCCTCTTGACATATGCACTTACAGGTGTGTCTCTGTCCCCAGCTTGAACACCCTTGTAGAAGAGATCCTGAAGGAGACTCTGGCTGTGTCTTCTCATCCACCCTCTGGCTGTGTCCTTCTGATATGACTCCATCATTGCTGGTTGCTGTTTCCCCTGCAGGAAACCACACTGTATCCAGACACAGAAATATAATAGTTTTGCCTAACTCTCTTAATATTAACTTTCAGTTTTGAAGCTGGTCAAATTCACTACACAAGAGGAGAAGGAGATGAGATGCCACTCAACTGAGTTTGCCAGACAGTGCTAACAAATTAGCATTGTCACTGACATGGATAGTGAATTAGCAACATTTGCTCTATTTGTAATCTAATCACAGGCCGTGTCATCTGCTAGACAGATCGGAGGAGTAGAGCTGGAACAGGAGGCAGCAGGCTGCCAGCATCCACACACACAGACAGTAATCTCATCTGGCCCAGCGCTTACGTTACAGTATGCATGAATGACCACAGAATCAGATGTTTGGTAACAGGTATTGACTGTAGGCTGCTCTTATTATAAGACACTACTAATAGCCCTGCTGGTTTTGCTGGTGACCAGCCTTCGCTGTGTTTTTGCTGGTGCCTTCGTTGTGTTTTTGCTGGTGACCAGGCTTCGTTGTGTTTTTGCTGGTGACCAGCTTTCGCTGTATTTGTGTTGGTGCCTTCGCTGTGTTTTTGCTGGTGCCTTCGTTGTGTTTTTGCTGGTGACCAGCCTTTGCTGTGTTTTTGCTGGTGACCAGGCTTCGTTGTGTTTTTGGACACTGGTGACCTGCAAAAGCTGGTCACCAGCATACCAGTATGCTGGTCACCAGCAAAACCAGCATCTAATCACATTATGCTGGCTTTCAAAATGATGTTTAATTCCTATTGGAATCCAGCCTGAGTGGGGATATCCAACAATTTGAACTTTTATTCACCCACAATCTGCATTCAGAATGAATACCAGGTTTAGAAAGACAATTACGTGAAACTGGAACAACCATTCAGTAACGGGTGCAATAAATCCAACAGATTGGATTAATTGAAAAAAATGTATGTTATTTATCTTTGTGTAGCGTAAGTTGAATTAATCAATGTACATGCAAAAATGCTATAAATAAAAAAGGTATTGAAACAAACCCTTTTCTAAAAATCTAACTGCAATAGAGCATGCTGGTAAATATGATAATGATGGCCATGGTTTTGCAGACCAGCTAGACCATGCTGGACCAGCATAGACCAGCTTGGTCACCAGCATCACCAGTTTGGCCAGCCTAACCAGCTAAACCATGCTAGTCAGACCAGCTTGACCAGCTAGACCAAGGATGGGCAACTGGCGGCCCTTGTAGGCCCACGGATCAGTCGGGGTCTCAAATTACAGTTGAGAGTTAGAATAGTAGAATGCACAAGGTGCAATTTCGAAATTTTGTCATGTATCAGCATTTTTCCTCTTGTTTCACTACATGACCAAAAGTATGTGGACACCTGCTCGTCGAACATCTCATTCCAAAATCATGGGCATTAATATGGAGTTAGTCCCCCCTTTGCTGCTATAACAGCCTCCACTCTTCTGGGAAGGCTTTCCACTAGATGTTGGAACATTGCTGCGGGGACTTGCTTCCATTCAGCCACAAGAGCATTAGTGAGGTCGGGCATTGATGTTGGGCGATTAGGCCTGGCTCTGTGCAGGCCAGTCAAGTTCTTCCACACCAATCTCGACAAACCATTTCTGTATGGACCTCGCTTTTATGCACAGAGGCATTGTCATGCTGAAACAGGAAAGGGCCTTCCCCAAACTGTTGCCACAAAGTTGGAAGCACAGAATCGTCTAGAATGTCATTGTATGCTGTAGCATTAAGATTTCCCTTCACTGAAACTACGGGGCCGATCCCAAACCATGAAAAACAGCCCCTTACCATTATTCCTCCTCCACCAAACAGTTAGCACTATGCATTGGGGTAGGTAGCGTTCTCCTTGCATCCGCCAAACCCAGATTTGTCCGTCGGACTGCCAGATGGTGAAGCGTGATTCATCACTCCAGAGGACATGTTTCCGCTGCTCCAGAGTCCAATGGCACATGGTGATGTTAGGCTTGTGTGCGGCTGCTCGGCCATGGAAACCCATTTCATCAAGCTCCCGATGAACAGTTATTGTGCTGACATTGCTTCCAGAGGCAGTTTGGAACTCTGTAGTGAGTGTTGTAACCAAGGACAGACGATTTTTACGCGCTACGCACTTCAGCACTCGGCGGTCCTGTTCTGTGAGCTTGTGTGGGCTATCACTTCGCGGCTGAGCCATTGCTGCTCCTAGACGTTTCCACTTCACAATAACAGCACACTTACTGTTGACCGGGGTAGCTCTAGCAGGGCAGAAATTTGACAAACTGACTTGTTAGAAATGTGGCATCCTATGATGGTGACACATTGAAAGTTCCTGAGCTCTTCAGTAAGGCCATTCTACTGCCATTGTTTGTCTATGGAGATTGCATGGCGGTGTGCTCGATTTTATACACCTGTCAGCAATGGTTGTGGCTGAAATAGCCGAATCCATTAATTTGAAGGGGTGTCCACATACTTTTGTATATATATATTTTTTTCAGTCACTGAATTAGCCCATGTCAGCAAAAATATATATATTGATAAGTTAGTCTAGCCAGCTATCTAAAATTACCGGTCCCCCATTGATTTTGTTAGTCATTCTCACTCAGATATATGAAAAACTGCTAACATTTCTCTCCACCCTATGGCAATATGTGTAGAATTGCGGGTAATTATCTGTAAAACTGCTCATTTTCTCTCCACCCCATGGCAATATGTGTAGAATTGCGGGTAATTATCTGTAAAACTGCTCATTTTCTCTCCACCCCATGGCAAAATGAGTAGAATTGCGTGAAATTGGCTGTAAAATTGCAAAATCTTCTCTTCCCCCATGGCAAAATATGTAGAATTGCAGCAAACATGCTTTAAAACTGCAAAATGTGTAGAATTGCAGGAAATTTACTTATTGTTTTCTCTCCATTGTCAAGAGGGGGGTCTGACTACATGTGTGGGTATGGATGTGGGTACACATACCCGCGAGCCACTGTGGCCCCTCATGATGAGTTCAGATTTTTGTGGCCCCCATCCCCATCAATGTTGCCCATCCCTGAGTTAGACCATGTTGGTCAACCAGCTAGGCCATGCTGGTCAGACCAGCTTGACCAGAATCAGACCAGCACAGAGCAGCGTGGACCAGCTTGAAATGTATGCTGGTCTTCTGGGTTTTTGCAGTGAGAGGAGGTTTGGCCGCTGATACCTAGGAATAGTCTTTTGTTGCCGTACTTGTTGATTTCAATCAAGTTTACCTACTCATCATGTGTCAATATTGATTTGAAAAGTCATACAAGCATACACGACCCATAATCAATGGTGACTTACAAGTAATTGGGCTTTACTCACTCCCATTCCCAAATAACCTCTGTTGTAAAACAATAATCTACTAATCTAACTTCTACCATCAATGATACAGATTCTACTGTTAGAGCAACTGTAATTGCAACAAACCACAAGGAAACTGCTGTCTTACCTGTTATCTTGCAGAAAGGTATATATCTGTACATCCAGCTCAGCCAGGTAAAAGCTCCCTCCAGGTGATCTGATACCCATCCACCTGTTGATCTCCCGTTCTCTGCTCCCGTCTCACACCACACCACTGACAGTGACACCTGAGCACACCTGAGCAGCTGACAGCTTTGACGCCAAGTCACACTGGTTCCTCATGCATCTTTAAACACCCTGACCTTATGTCCTACTGTCTCTGCCTAGCTACATGTGCTGTCCTTTCTAGCTCTTTCCTGTTGCTTTGTTGCATTGATCATTGTGTTGTTATTTGCAGATGTGTCTGGCTTATTTTGGCATAAACTGTGGTTAATTAATTTGGGCATTGCTGCTGGGTATATGGCTTCTGTTGCTTGTGAAATTGATATTATAGTATTTATTAGATCATTTTCATATGTGAAAACATAGTAGTTCAGAATAGTTTATATTGTGATTAGGATTTGTGATCTTTGATAGTCTAATCAAGTTGACGTCTTACAGTAGGTAACCCTACTGTATTTGTGACACACTGAACTATTCTTAACCTTGTTCGCCTCATTAAAAACAGGAAACTCTTATATCAACAGAGAGCTCCCTAAGGCAGAATCCCATAGGATAACACCAGATGCATTTATTTGGATTCATCCTAATGGCCTTCAGTCATATGGTTTACACATTTAACAGGAATAAACTGTATCTTTATAGTACAGTATCTCCATAGAGATCTCCTCATCTCTCCCTCTCTGCTGTGACCTGCTGTGAGCTGTGTAAAAATGCTGCTACTGTACAGGACCATCTCCTGGCATCCATTTTGGCTCCAAACGGTTTTTTGGTTTCTTATGCTCTGTGCTGTTCAAAGTGATCCTGGAGCGACTGGGCCCTGGTTTCTGCCTGCCTGCTGGATCCATTGCATCCATATAAACAGATAGGGGCCTCTGTGTTGTGCTTGGTAGGCCTGCGTTTGCTTTCTGCCATTCTCACTGAGGCGATGTGTCCGTTTGTGGAGCTACTGTCCGTATGCTCCTGCTCCCAAGCTTCATGGGGATGCATTATGTGAATAGTGCATTATATTTAACATTTTAATGTAACTTTTATTTTAACAGGGAAGACATATTGAGACCTAGGTCTCTTTTGTAAATGCACCCTGTATAATACAACAAAAATATACACATCATACCCAAAATATACAGTGCATTCGGAAAGTATTCAGACCCTTTCACTTTTTCCCCAACAAATTACGTTACAGCCTAATTCTAAAATTGATTAAATTGTTTTTTCCCCCCTTATCAATCTACACACAATACCCCATAATGACAAAGCAAAAATAGGTTTTTAGAAATTCATTAAAAATTGAAAACGGAAATATTAAATGTACATACGTATTCAGACCCGTTACTCAGTACTTTGTTGAAGCACCTTTGGCAGCGATTCGCCCCAAATCTGAGGTCCTGAGCACTCTGGAGCAGGTTTTCATCAAGGATCTATCTGTACTTTGCTCCGATCATCTTTCCCTCAATCCTGACTTGTCTCCCAGTCCCTGCCGCTGAAAAAAATCCCCACAGCATGATGCTGCTACCACCATGCTTCACCGTTGGGATGGTGCCAGGTTTCCTCCAGAGAATCTTCTTTCTCATGGTCTGAGAGTCCTTTAGGTGCCTTTTGGCAAACTCTGAGCGGGCTGTCATGTGCCTTTTACTGAGGAGTGGCTTCCGTCTGGCCACTCTATCATAAAGGCCTGATTGGTGGAGTGCTGCAGAGATGGTTGTCCTTTTGGAAGGTTCTTGGTGGTTCCAAACTTCTTCCATTTAAGAATTATGGAGGCCATTGTGTTCTTGGGGACCTTGAATGCTGGATAAATATTTTGGTACCCTCCCCCAGATCTGTGCCTTGACACAATCCTGTCTCGGAGCTCTACAGACAATTCCTTCGACCTCATGGCTTTGTTTTTGCTCTGACATGCACCGTCAACTGTGGGACCTTATATAGACAGGTGTGCCTTTCCAAATCATGTCCAATTAATTGAATTTACCACAGGTGGACTCCAATCAAGTTGTAGAAACATTTCCAGGATGATCAATGGAAACAGGATGCACCTGAGCTCAATTTCGAGTCTCATAGCAAAGGGTCTGAATACTTATGTAAATAAGGGATTTCTGTTTTCATTTTGTCATTATGAGGTATTGGGTGTAGATTGATGAGGGAAAATGTTTCTTTAATCCATTTTGGAATAAGGCTGTAACGTAACAAAATGTGGAAAAAGGGGTGTGAATACTCCGAATGCGCTGTGTATACACATTAAAATACAAAAACACAGTCATGGGAAGCACAAAATAAAACATAACAAATCACCCAGAAAAACAGTTACATTTCTCCACAAATAAGTCCCCAATCAATACTTTAAATTGCCCGAATGGCACCAGAACATCAACATAAACGTATTTTGAATTTTGTTCCAGCAATAAGGTGCATTAAAACTAAAAGCAGATTTACCTAGCTCGGTGGCGACCCTAGGATCCTCAAGAGTTAACTAATCCTGTGAACAGGTTAGGCAACTCAGGTGTCTATACTTCAATAGCAAAGTTAGATAAGACAGAAGTTTATGAAGTAGGGCCTTGTAAACAAAAAGGAAGTAATGTAGAGATCTACGGGTCTTTAGCTAAGTCCAGCCAACCTTTTGATACAGGATGCAGTGATGATTATCAAAACTGTCACATGTAACAAAATGAAGGGCACTATGGTAGATGGCATCCAAAGGTTTAAGAGTAGTAGCAGCTGCACTTTGATATATAACATCACCATAATCAAGAACAGATAAAAAGGTTGACTGAATAGTCTGCTTCCTACTGATTAGAGAAAGGCACTATCTGTTTCTGTAGAAACAGCCAACTTTAAATCTTAGCTTCTTAACTAGCTCATCTGTATGATTTTAAACATCAAATCCATATCAATCCAAATACCTAAGTATTTATATGCAGGAACACGCTCGATTGGAGAACCATCTAATGAGTGGGATGCATTTTCATATTCATATGATAGCCTTTTCTATTCTATTCTACATTCCAAGTGTCAAGTACAATAGGTGAGAGACCGCAACACAGTATTGAACAGCTGGATTCCATAAAAACATGAACTACTGTTTATAAAAATAAAATAATTACAGTAAAGCAGCTGTTAAATCCCAAGCCAACAAACAGATGGGAACGAGTTTAATCATGCAACGCATTCATAGTTTAGTCATACACAGAAGGAAAATCTCCTGTATTTCAAAAACTTCACCACTAGAGAGCAGAAGAGGACCCAACTCACCCAGCCAATTCCTATCATCTCTTCCATTTACAGTGGAGCCTGGCTGGTTCCTGGTTGGCTGGTGTCCCTGACCCTCATTGTGCTCTTTTATTCTCCTGTGGCTAATTATCTCTCTCTGTTGTGCTGCATCATCTGTTTCTGCTGTCAACACCACTAAAGCGCCTTCCCTTATTGTGGCCAGCTGGCCGTTCAATTCCAGTTGTTGACAGATAGTTAAGCTGATGTAATGTGTGGGACTGAGACATACCGCTGCTGTTGTACCCTGGGCTAAGCAGTGACCAGCAATACTGGACACACAGCACATTCAATCACAGCTCTGACTCTCCCACACAATGAGAGAGCCTTACAAAACACATCTAAAGCAGTTGCAGTTGTTTTGGTTGTCATGATACTACTTGCTAAATAAAGATTAGAAGCCGCATTTAACTTGTGCACAGAAGCTAGATATCTGATGGACAATTACTTAGTCCAAAGGGTATCTCCACAAACTGATGAATGTCATAACCTTTACATTACATGACGTTTACATTAATACTAGCACATAATGAAACCTCACTGTCGCAAGAATCTGACATCCACACAACCGAAGACCACATAGTGTCATACATAGCATATGCCTCCAATAAAGCTGACATCCACATCCATACTGTATCAGCCATATGTATCCAATAAGTCAGATTTGCGAAGTTGCACACTTAGAGAGACAGTTCCCTTCTCCCTCATTAGAGATCCATCCTCTGTCTGCTGGCCTGGCATGCTGTGAGCCCCTCCCCCCTCTGTGACAGTCTTCCTCCCCATCTCTCCACCTCTAACCCACTAACTTTCACCCCCCTCTTTGACAGCATTCCCCCTCTTTCTCACCTCTTCCCCGCTCTCCCACCTCTGTGGACCAGACACAGGTGCGCGAAAGACCTGCTCTGCTCCTGCTCTGCTCCATCTGTCCACAATCTATCTCAATCTGTCTCTGTGTCTGTCTGTCTGTCTGTCTGTCTGTCTCTCTCTCTCTCTCTCTCTCTCTCTCTCTGTCTCCTTCACACACAAACACACACACACAGGCTCTCTCGCTCGCGCTCGCCGCGCGCGACGACACACACAAACACACAACAGACAGGCGAGCCGCGCGCGCGGCGCGCGCGCGCGGCGCGATAGAGAGAGAGCGAGAGCACGCGGCAAAGAGAGAGAGAGAGAGACGGAGCGAGAGGGAAAAAAAGGGAAGAGAGAGCGCTGAGAGAGCGAGAGAGAGAGAGAGAGAAGAGAGAGAGGAGCGAAGAGAGAGAGAAGAGAGAGGAGGAGAGAGAAAAAGAGAGTCTCTCTCTCTATCTCTCTCTCTCGCTCTCTCGTCTCTCTCTCTCTGTCTCTCTCTTCTCGCTCTCTCTTTCTCTCTCTCTCTCTCTGTCTCTCTTCCTTCTCTCTCTCTCTCTCTCTCTCTCTCTCTCTCTCTCTCTCTCTCTCTCTCTCTCTCTCTTTCTACCCCCTTTCACTCCTTCACCTGCATGTCTGGCTGGCTTGTTGGTTCCCACACTCACCTTCAAGGGGATGATTCATACACACACTCAATAACAGGGGAAGCAAACCTGCTCCAACTTCCGGCGTGTGTTTAAAATCAAATTGAATTGTATTTGTAACATGCGCCGAATACAAAAGGTGTAGACCTTACAGTGAAATGCTTACTTACAAGCCCTTAACCAACAATGTAAAATAACAGTAGCGAAGCTATATACAGTGGGTACCGGTACAGAGTCAATGTGCGGGGGCACAGGTTAGTCTAGGTAATTTAGGTAATATGTACATGTCGGTAGAGTTAAACTGACTGTGCATTGATAATAAACAGAGACTAGCAGCAGCGTAAAAGAGGGGATGGGTAGGGAGGACAATGA